GGGGCTTGAACTCTGGGTCTGGGTGCTGTCTCTCAGCTCTTCAGCTCAAGGCTAGCGCTCTACCACTTGAGCTACAGTGCCACTTCCGGTTTTCTAGTGGTTTACTGGAGATAAGTGTCTTACAGATTTTCCTGCCTGGGCTGGTTTTGAGCCTCAGAATACTAAGGTGATCTTTATCTGCAGACTTATGGAGGTATGGAGGGCCCAAGTAACTAAGTTAACACGACAAAGCTTTAAAATGGGAATAAACTGTGGAATTGAAGGTTTAACTTTAGAATTGTTGGGTTTATTTTATTCCAAATGCACTTAACACTGGATTTGATTTTATTCAACTTTTAGTTAGGTGAGTATACATGAACAAAACATTAAGCTGGACACTGGTGACTCATGCCTGTAACATACCTTAGTTTGGAGCTTCTCCAAATGTGTTAGAAATGCAATTCTTAGGCTCTAACCTGAACCAAAGTCTGGGGCTAGGAGGCCACAGCAATCTGTTTTAACAAGGCTTCGATGTGATTCAGATGCCTACTAGTTTGGAAACTAGTATGCTTTCCAAAGGTATGAATATATTCAGACTCTACCTTTAACAAGGATGAATAAAAAGAAGATTCAGTAAGTTAAGCAGTGCTCTTATCAAATATCCCTTTGACACACAGGAAACTTAAAAATACATGATATTTTTGTCAAAAGTACTCCAGGGCTCCAAATTTGGTCTTCATTAATGTACAAACCTAAAGCTTGTTTTCAACTAGTGAACACCCAAAATTGATCAGTATCATCCACAATGTAAAAAAGTAAATGCGGGGAGGGGGGGGGAGTGGGAGAAGGGGAGAAGGGGGGGAGTTGAGAAGGGATGAGAAGAAGAAACAAAGGAGGCAACAGTGCTTGATGAGAAATGCACTCATTACTTTACCCATGTAATTGTATCCCCTCTGTACAGTATTTTCACAATAAAAAAATTTAAAAATAAATAAATGCAGCTGGGTGCCGGTGACTCGGCTGTAATCCTAGCTACTCAGGAGGCTGAGATCTGAGGATCACAGGTCAAAGCCAGCCTAGGCAGGAAAGTCCATGCGTCTCTTATCTCCAATAAACCAGCAGAAAACCGGAAGTGGCACTGTAGCTCAAGCGGCAGAGTGCTCGCCTTGAGCTGAAGAGCTGAGGGACAGCGCCCAGGCCCAGAGTTCAAGCCCTAGAACTGACCAAAAAAAAAAAAAAAAAAACACTAAAACCATATATTCCAGTTTGCCTTTGTCTATTCTTGGTTTATGTCTATATTATTATTATTATTGGTACCTTTTCTCTCAAAAGGCTCCTAATTTAGCCAATAAATTATTGGATAATGTATTACCTGAAATATTCTCAATAACTCACTATTTTTGCTCCTTCACAGAAACAATTTGGAGCTAGGAATGTAACTCAGTGGTGGAACACTTGTCCACCTATGCATAAAGTGTGCACTTGTTCCCAGAACCAGGGCTGAGGATGTAGCTCAGTCAGTAGTGGAGCAATAAAGCCCTAGTTTTAATCCCCAGCACTAAAATAGTTAATTCATCGTTTCTTCTTCTATGAAATTATTTAATCAAAAACAACAATATTATTTCCTCCCTCTATTATCCCAACTTTATTCTAACGTAACATGATCAGAGGTGAAAATAAGCCTTTCTTTCTGCAGATCTGGACAAGGAATTCAGGACTTTACATAAGCTTAGGCAAGCTTCTACCAATGATACACATCCAAGGTTTTTTTTTGGTAGGTCATGGGGCTTGAACTCAGGGCCTGAGAACTCTCCCTGAGTTTTTTTGTTCAAAGCTAGCACTCTACCACTTTGACCCACAGCTTACATCCAGTTTTTCTGTGGTTAGCTGGAGATAAGAGTTTCACACACAGAGCTGAGAATGTTGCTTAGTGGTAGAGTGCTTGCCTAGCATGCATGAAGCCCTGGGTTCCATTCCTTAGTACCACATCAACAGAAAAAGCCAGAAGTGGCACTGTGGCTCAGGTGGTGTAGTGCTATCCTTGAGTAAAAAGCAGCTCAGGGATAGTGCCCAGGCCCTAAATTCAAGCCCCAGGACACACACACACACACACACACACACTCTCTCGCTCCTACCTGGAATGGCTTTGCATACACACACACACACACACACACACACACACTCTCTCTCTCTCTCTCTTTACTACCTGGAATGGCTTTGAACCATATTCCTTGTATCTCAGTCTTCTGAGTAGCTAGGATTATAGGCAAGTGCCCAGCTAGAAGATACTCTTTCTTAAAGGAGCTTTGTTCTTATTATTATCGGTGGTGGTTTGGGATTTGAACTCAGGACCTTGTGCTAGGCAAGTGCTTGCTCTTATGGCTGAGCCATGGCCCTATACTTTTTCTGTGGTGGTTATTTTTGAGATAGGTCCTCATTTCCTGCTTGATTGTAAGCCTGGGCTGTGATCTGCCAATTTTAGACTTCCTATTGTACCTAGGATAACAGGCATCTGCCACTGGGCCTATTTCTCAGTTGAGAAGGGGGTCTTATGAATTTTTCTGCCTGCCCTGGCCTTGAACACAGATCCTCCCTATTTCAGCATCCTAATAGCTTAGGACTACAGTTTTAAGCTATGAGTGCCCTTCACTAATTTTTTTTTTGGGGGGTCAGCTGTAGCCTTGAACTCTGGGCCTGGGCGCTGTCCCTCAGCTCTTCAGCTCAAGGCTAGCGTTCTACCACTTGAGCCACAGCGCCAGTTCCCATTTTCTGGTGGTTAATTGGAGATAAGAATCTCATGGACTTTCCTGCCCAGGCTGGCTTTGAACCACAATCCTCAGATCTCAGCCTCCTGAGTAGCTAGGATTACAGATGTGAGCCACGGGCACTAGGCTTCACTACTTTCTTTTAGTTAAAAGTTCATCTCTAGTACTAGGTGCTAGTGGCTTACTCCTGTAATCAAGAGGCTGAAATCTGAAGACTGCAATTTCAAGCCAGCTGGGGCAGTAAAGCCCGTGGGATTTTTTTTTTTCTTTTGGTCGATCATGGGGCTTGAACTTGGGCTTGGGTGCTCTCCTTGTGCTCTTCAGCTCAAGGAGAGTGCTCTACCACTTGAGCCACAGTGCCACTTCTGGTTTTCTAGTAGTTTATTGGAGATAAGTCTCACGGACTTTCCTCCCTGGGCTTGCTCTGAACAGCGATGCTTAGATCTCAGCCTCCCGAGCAGCTAGGAGTATAGGTGTGAACCTGGAGTCCATGGGATTCTTATCTCTAATTAACCACCAAAGTGTCAGAAGTGGAGCTATAGCTTAAGCAGTAGAGTGCTAGCCTTGAGCACAAAAGCTTAGGGACAGCACCCAGGCAGGCCTGAGATGAAGCTCAGGGACTGGCCCAAAAAGTAAACAAAAGTTTATCTTCAATATTTTCTGTTCAGAAAACTTTCAAAATCACTTTAATATTTCATTTTACATAAAAGATAGAGAAACATTTACACAATAGCAATATAATTATCAATCAGCAATCTGGTTTTAAGAGAGGTTAAACAATCCCTACAAACTGAAACACCAGTTTAACACAAAAGTGGTCTGCAAATATTTGAGGTATTTTAATCCTATCTTTAGCAATGTTGATCCTATTAAGTCACGTGTAACAGGGAGCTATATATTCTCATATTTCACCTATTTGGAATACTTGGCCATTACTCTATCAAAATAAAATAAAGTAAAACAAAACAAGATATACTCTAATATAGCATATATTTTTAGGAAAAGCAAAATATCCACTAAGAACTTTAAAAATACAAAACATTTAATCATCCACTAGACTTACTAAGTTTTCATGAGTAAAACTTGAAAACCAAGTATCATTTAACCCTATGTTTCATTATAATAGGGTTTCTCAAACTGGCATTTAGGGCTGAAAAATTCCTGGTAGAGGTATGTGTTTTATATAGCTTAGGGTGTTAGGACCATCCTTAGCTTTTACCAATTATGTCAGCAGCTCTTACATAATAGTATACCTAATAGCATTTCTATCTATAGTCATTGCTAAATATACTCTGAAAGGTAACTTCATCTGCTGGTGAAAACCACTAACAAGGCATTTCCTTTCTTTTAAACTCAACATCTACTGAAATTCTGAAGGAAGATTAAAAAAGTAAAATAATAATAATAATTGAGGACTTAAGGCAGCATACTGACCTCTACTGGCTTGTTACTGAACTGTACTTTTTTCTTTTTTCCAGCCACAGCGCCACTTCAGGCTTTTATTCTTTTTGCTTATGTGGTGCTGAGGAATCGAACCCAGGGCCTTAGGCATGCAAGGCAAGCACTCTACCACTGAGCCACCTTCCCAGCCCCTGAACTGTACATTTGATGTAACAGTTTCTTGAAAAAAAAATCCTTTTAAATTAAAAGCAAATTGTTCTACTCTAGGAAGTTTGAACAATTAGTTGAATGCAGTACTATTACCATTAGGCTATTGATTTTATATACGCCCCAACAAATATAATCACACTAGTTGTATATTGTTTTCTAAGTGTTTAATATACTATCACCTTTCATATGGACTGATTTTTAATAAGTGCTTTATAAACTAACAAGGAGATATTTTTCGGGTGGAGAATAAAAATATTTCTGGTTGAAAAACTTGAAGAAATTAAGTAGTATGCTATTTTATGATTTGTGCTGAAAATTTTAAATATTAAAAAACTAGTAACAGCCAGGCATGTGTTGCTCATACCTGTAACCCTAGCTACCTATTTAGGAGGTTGAGATCTGATGTTTGAAGCCAGCTCAGGCAGGATAGTAACCAGCAAAAAGCTGACAATGGAGCTGTGGCTCCAGTGGTAGAACACTAGCCTTGAGGAAAAAAAATAAAAAGTTCAACAACAGTACCCAGGCCCTGAGGTCAAGCAAGCCACAAGACCAGCACAAAAATTAAAACAAAACAAAATGCTAATAACAATAATTCTATAAATAAAATATTCCAGACATTTCAATAAAAGGCATTTGGTAATTAAATACTGTCAATTAAATTGATGAACTTTATTGAGCTTAAAACCATAACAAAGTTCATCCTAAAACATTTTGCAATGCAAAATTATTACACTCAAGGAGTGTTTAATAATTTGAATGCTAGAAATTACAAGCAATTTTCAAAAGCAGACTCACATTCATAAAACTTTATACATCATTTGAACTAACATATTTATACTACTAAAATCAAACATGCATCACCTTCAAACATTCTTGTATCATGATTTTATATGTACATTATTTAACAACATTCCACATCACAACACAAATATTATCATACACTTGCACCATTCTCCTTGGATTTTTGATCTTTGTCTTCATTCTTTATGTTATCCTGCAAAACAGGATAAAGAAAAAGTACATTAGATTCTCTTAATTGAATTGAAGCCATCTTATAATGGTATTGTTACAAAATGTTTTTATTGATAAATATTAATGAATTAATTTTAATAGTTTGGTGCCAAAAATTTCCTCAATGCTATGTTTAAAACTATTTCATTTGTCATTCTGGGCATTTAATCCAGGAATAATCCATTACAAGTACGTGCTTACACACATTCTTAATTCTTCCACTGACTGAACTACAGCAACGCCAACCCAAAGTCGGCTTTAAGAGACACATATGGGTGCCGGTGGCTCACGCCTGTAATCCTAGCTATTCAGGAGGCTGAGATCTGAGGATCTCGGTTCAAAGCCAGCCTGGGCAGGAAAGTCCATGAAACTCTTATCTCCAATAAACCACCAGAAAACTGGAAGTGGCACTGTAGCTCAAGTGGTAGAGCGCTAGCCTTGAGCTGAAGAGCTGAGGGGGACAGCGCTTAGGCCCAGAGTTCAAGGCCCAAGACCACCAAAAAAAAAAAAAAGAGACACATATAAATTATGCAGAATGGTACCTAAGTTTTAGGGAACATAATCTTTTGGGAATTACTTTTTATAAGTTTCATGAAAGATGGAATGCGGTCATTATCATTATTTGCTTCTAGGAAAAACTACAAGAGCATAGTAATATTAAAATACATTAAAAATATAGGAAATCAATTTTTTATTTTCGTTTTTTATTGTGAAAATACCATACAGAGGGGCTACAATTACATGAGCAAGGTAATAAGCACATTTCTTATCAAGCATTGTTGCCTCCTCCTTTGTTTCCCCTTACCATCCCTTCCCATCCACCCCCCTCCCCGCCCCCTGCATTTATTTTTTTACATTGTGGATGATACTGATCAATTTTGGGTGTACATTAATGAAGATCAAATTTGGAGCCCTGGAGTACTTTTTTCAACATAACATCTTGTACATCTCATTGTTGCAATGGGTCCACCTGTATCCCTATTTAAACAATTTGTTTTTCCCTTCCCTGCCCCAAATTAGGAAATCAATTTTTAAAATGGACAAAAATAAGGAGAGTGCTGGTGGCTCACGCCTGTAATCCTAGCTATTCAGAAAGCTGAGATCTGAGGTTTCTGGTTTGAAGCCAGCTGGGGCAAGAAAGTTATCTCCAATTAATCACCAGAAAACCAGAAATGGATCTATGGGTCAAAGTGGTAGAGCGGTAGCCCTGAGCAAGGAGAGCTCAGGGATAGTACTTAGGCCCAGGGTTCAAGCTCCATGACTGGAAAAAAAAAAAAAAAACACAAAAATGTTCAAAGTACAAAATTTCTAACCTTCTTGAGAACAGTATGTATTTCATCCATTACTGTGGACAGGTTTCTGATTGTCTTGCTCAGCTGGTTTTCAAATTGCAAATTCATGTTTTCTGAAACCTTTAAATTTTCTTGTAATTGACTAAGGTCCTTTTTAACTTCTTTGAGTTCACCAGAGAGGCTTTTGTTAGAAATCTCCAAATTTAATATGGTTTTTTCATCTTCATCTGTTAAAAAAAAATCATTTTAACCTCTAAATTTCCAATATAAGGCTGAAATTAAAAATATTAAACCTCTGAGACAGTGGCTCACACCTGTAATCCTAGCTACTTAAGAGGCTGAGATTTGAGGATGGCAGTTCAAAGCCAGCCAGGCCAGGTCCATGAGACTCTTATCTCCAATAAACCACCAGAAAACCGAAAGTGGTGCTGTGGCTCAAGCTGTAGAGCGCTTGCCTTGAGCTGAAGAGCACAGGGACAGTGCCCAAGCCCAGAGCTCAAGCCCCACGACTGACCAAAAAAAAAAAAAAAAAAGCTAAAATATACTTGAGACTGTACACAAATAGTTAAGATTCTTAAATAAGTAATTTTTACAAACTGTAATACAAAAGGCTACAAGGAGCCAGGCGCTGGTGGCTCATGCCTGTAATTCTAGCTACCCAGGAGGCTGAGATCTGAGGATTGCAGTTCAAAGCCAGTGTGGGCAGGAAACTCCGAGAGATTCTTATAAACCACCAGAAAACCAGAAGTGGTGCTGTGGCTCAAGGGACAGCGCCCAGGACCAGAGTTCAAACCCCAGGACCAACCAAAAAAAAACAAAGGCTACAAGGTAAGTGTCAAGCCTAGATAATAGAAATGTATGCATGAAATATCTCAAAACGGTTTGAAAAGTATTAATAAGAACAATGCTGTCTCTCACCTGTTTTTTCTTCTAGTAGCTGTAGCTTCTGTTCTACTTCAGCTCTTACTTTTTCACTCTTCTCCAATTTTTGCAAGAGGCTTCCTACATCAACCATTGCACCATTGTACACAATGAGTCCTACATTTTCCTCTACATCCTTAAGTTCCTGTTTAACTGTTGGTGTTGGAAGTAACAACCTATTTCCTATAATATGAAAGATACTGTATCTTAGTATGGGTATTAAGTAGGGATAATAAATTTAATAGAACATACTTTCAATTATTGTATTTTGTTTGTTACATATTAATAAATATATTTATTTATTGGAAATATATTTAAAAGAAGACACCTGGGAGGTTGAGGCGCAAAGATCTAAAGATCAAGGATAACCTGGCAACACAGTGAAACCTCTCTCTCAAAGAACAAGGCAGAGCAAAGTAAAAGCAAAAGAATGTTAATGTACTCAAACCTAGCATATCCTCTTGCAGTGATTCAGACTCTTCATGGTTTTCTTCATCTTTTGAGGTATCAGTTAATTTCCGATAAAAGCACGATTCACGGAGGACTACTTTATTAAGAAGCTTCTTTACCTATTATATATAAACAAGTTAAGAAGAAATTAATAGGATGTACTTTTTTGTGGTAGAACTGGGGAGTGAACCTGGGAAACTTAGCATAGTAGATAAATGTTCTGGGGGCCGGGAAGGTGGCTCAGTGGTAGAGTGTCTGCCTCACATGCATGAGCCCCTGGGTTCGATTCCTCAGCACCACATACACAGTAAGAGCCAGAAGTGGCACTATGGCTAGTACTCTAGTACTGGTAGAGTACTAGCCTTGAGCTGAAGAGCTGAAGGGCAGTGCCAGGCCCAGAGTTCAAGCTCCAGGATGGAAAAAAAAAAAAAAACCCAGATAAATGTTCTCCAGGCTGTGACATTTTCAGCCTGAAAACACAACCTTTGCTTCTCCTACAACAACTGTGTTTTGATTTTTACAAACGATTAATGTCTATAGAAACTGTTTCCTTGGATAGTAATTTCTTGGATAACTAATTAGGGAAATTAAGATTTTTAGTATTTTCTTTATAATTGGAGACCCAAGTTTATTCTTTCAAAAAACATTTAGTTGGCCGGGCGCTGGTGGCTCACGCCTGTAATCCTAGCTACTCAGGAGGCTGAGATCTGAGGATCGCAGTTCAAAGCCAGCCCGGGCAGGAGAGACAGTGAGACTCCTATCTCCAATAAAACCACCAGAAAACCGGAAGTGGCGCTGTAGTTCAAGTGGTAGAGCGCTTGCCTTGAGCTGAAGAGCTGAGGGACAGCGCCTAGGCCCAGAGTTCAAGCCCCACGGCCGACAAAACAAAAACAAAAACAAAAAACATTTAGTTGTTAAAAAGTATCACACTGGGGCTGGGAAGGTGGCTCCTGGGTAGAGTGCTTGCCTTGAGTGCATGAGGCCCTGGGTTCGATTCCTCAGGCCCTGGGTTCGATTCCTCAGCACCACATAAACAGAAAAAGCTGGAAGTTGCGTGTTGGCTCAAGTGGTAGACTGCTAGCCTTGAGATGAAATGCTCAGGGACAGTGCCCAGGCCCAGAGTTGAGGCCCCATGACCGACAGAAAAGAAAAAATAAATAAAAGAGCCTCATATTGACAAAAATACCAACATACAAAAAAATGTAGAAGTGGTGAGCCGGTGGCTCACACATGTAATCCTAATAATCAGGAGGCTGAGATCTGAGGATCATGGTTCAAAGCCAGCCCAGGCAGGAAAGTCCAAGAGACTCTTATCTCCAATAAATCAACTAGAAAACTGGAAGTGGTGCTGTGGCTCAAGCGGTAGAGTGCTCACCTTGAGCTGAAGAGTGCAGGGACAGCGCCCAAGCCCAGAGTTCAAGCCCCATAAGCGACCAAAAAAACAAACAAAAAAAGTAGAAGGATGTTGATTACAGTACGGTTTATAATTTCACAAAATAAGAATTACCAGCAGATGGGAGTAAATTAATTATGTTATAGCTATAATAAAATACTATGCAACTATAAAGAATGACCTATTTTCATAAAATATACAGATTTTCTTTTCTTTCTTTCTTTCTTGGTTTTTTTTTGGTGGTCGTGGGGCTTGAACTCTGGGCCTGAGCACTGTCCCTCAGCTCTTCAGCTCAAGGCTAGCGTTCTATCACTTGCGCTACAGGGCCACTTCCTATTTTCATAAAATATAAAAAAATAAAAAAGTATATAACTTGAAGGTAGGAATGGGAGGGGGAAAGAACTGTACTTACAACTTATAAACCCTTTGTACAACTACTTAATAATAACTAAAGAAAAAAAGGGCTGGGAATGTGGCTTAGTGTGCTTACCTAGCATGTATGAAGGCCTGGGTTCGATTCCTCAGTACCACATAAACAGAAAAAGCTGGAAGTAGCACTGTGGCTCAAAGTGGTAGAGCACTAACCTTGAGCAAAAGAAGCCCAGGGACAGTGCCCAGGCCCTGAATTCAAGCCCCAGGACTGGCCAAAAAGACTAAAAAAAATAAAATTAAAATAAATAAATAAATATATATAAAAAAGTAGAGGGCCAGACTTGAAAAAAACTATAAAAGATGCAGGTATACAGCATTTGGTGGTACATTTTCTTTTTCTTTTTTTGGGTCCGGTCGTGGGGCCTGAACTCTGGGCCTGGGCGCTGTCCCCTCAGCTATTTTGCTCAAGGCTAGCGCTCTACCTCTTGAGCCACAGTGCCACTTCCAGCTTTTTTTCTTTTTGCTTATGTGGTGCTGGGGAATCGAACCCAGGGCCTCAGGCATGCAAGGCAAGCGCTCTACCACTGAGCCACCTTCCCAGCCCTGGTGGTACATTTATCTAATCCCAGTACTCAGAAAGTTGAAACAGGAAGACCACGAGTTTCACACTAGCATAAATTATAGTTATATTGCAGGTCCCCTTCTTCCCTTCAAAACAAAATAAAACTCTAGTCTAAGGAGAGCCTGACAAAAAGAGAGCTAAAGGCCTTAAAAAAAAAAAAAGGGGCTGGGAAGGTAGCTCAGCAGTAGAGCGTAGAGTGCATGCCTTGCAAGCATGCGGTCCTGGGTTAGATTCCTCAGCACCACATATATAGAAAAAGCCGGAAGTGGCGCTGTGGCTCCAGTGGTAGAGCACTAGCCTTGAGCTTAAGAGCTGAGGGACAGCGCCCAGACCCAGAGTTCAGGCCCCATGACCGGCAAAAAAAAAAGGTCTGGGAGTATGGCTTAGTGGTAGAGTGCTTGTCTAGCCTGCATGAAGCCATTCCTGAGTACCACATAAACAGAAAAAGCCAGAAGTGGCACTGTGGCTCAAATGGTAGAATGGTAGCCTTGTGCAAAAGAAGCTCAGGGACAGAGCCCAGGCCCAGAGTTCAAGCCCCATGACCAAAATAGAAAAAGAAAAACAATCTATACGATGATATATTCTTCTTTTGGATAGCAAATTCTTAAGAGTTACTGGGATTTGGACTACAAAATCTGGCTCAAGTAAAATTTTAGGCATGAGTGAAAGAGAACATGAGGCCCTGAGTTTAAGCCTCAGTATTGCAGGGAAGAAAAAAATTTACTGACTAAGGCCACTGGTGTTTCTCAGTGGCATAGCACTTGTGTAGCAGGAATGAGTCCCTAGGTTATATTCTCCAAAAGTGTGTAAGGAGGGGAAAAAAGAAAACTTGCCAAAAAAGGATTTCATTTTAAACTCATAGGATACATTACCTGAGCTCGAGAAAGATGTAGTCCAAGAGTATATAGTATTTCTTCTAAATCCTTTTCAAGAAGGTAACCACAATGGCTTTGATCAAAGTAAACAAAGGCCATTAATAGATCCCTGTTAATTGTGACCATCTGAGTCTTTTCTTTTTCCTATAGAAAATGCAAAAGATGATATATTGCATCATTTATTACTATAAAAATATATGAGACTAGCCAGGTGCCAGTGGCTCATGCCTGTAATCCTAGCTACTCAGGAGAGTGAGATCTGAGGATTGTGGTTCAAAGCCAGTCTGGGCAGGAAAGTTCCTGAGACTCTTACCTCCAATTAACCACCAGAAAACCAGAAGTGGTGCTGTGACTCAAACTTGCCTTGAGCTGAAGAGCTCAAGGATAGCGCCCAGCCCAGAGTTCAAAACCCCAACCAACAGACAGACACACACACACATACACACACACAAAAGTGAGACTATGTCCATATAATAGCACTAAATTTAACCTTTTATTTTTAATGGTGCCTGCCCCGAGTCTTGAACTCAGGCCCTCAAGCTCTCTATGGTACTCTATGACTTGAATCACATCTTTAGCTCTGCTTTTTGCTGGTTAAATGGAGATGAGTGACTTAGACTTGACTTTTCTGCCTAGCTGGATATGAACATCAATCCTCAGATTTTAATCTCCTGAATAACTAGGTTTATTGGCATGAGCTGTTGGCACACATTTATTGCATTTTGTTGTTTTTTTTTGTTGGTAGTAGTCATGGGGCTTGAATTCTGGGCCTGGGCTCTGTCCTTGAGCTCTTCAGCTCAAGGCCATTGTTCTACCACTTGAACCACAGTGCCACTTCCGGTGTTCTGGTGGTTAATTTGAGATAAGAATCTCAAGGACTTTCCTGTGCAGGCTGGCTTTGAACTGCGTTCATTAGATCTCAGTCTCCTAAGTAGCTAGGATTTACAGTCATAAGCCACCAGGACCCAGCTTAACATTTTTTTTTGGGGGGGTGGGGGGAGTAGGTCAGTCATAGAGCTTGAACTCTGGGCCTGGGTGCTGTCCCGCAGCTCTTTAGCTCAAGGTTAACGCTCTACCACTTAAGCCACAGCACCTTTTTGTAGTACTTTTCTTAAAAAGAAAATTTTTTTTGACAATCTGGAGCAGGTGGCTCATACCTGTAATCCTAGCTAGTTAGGAGGCTGAGATCTAAGGATATTGTAGTTCAAAGCCAGCCCAGGCAGGAAAATCCATGAGACTCTTACTCCAATTAACCACCAAAAAGCTGGAAGCGGAGCTGTGGCTCAAGTGGTAAAGCAGGAAGCCTTGAACACAAAAGATCAAAGATAGTACCCAGGGTTTCAAATACAAGCCCTAGAACTGGCATAAAAATAATAAATGAGGGGCTGGGAAGGTGGCTCAGTGGTAGAGTGCTTGCCTCACATGCATGACGTCCTGGGTTCAATTCCTTAGTACCACATAAGTGAAAACGCTGGAAGTGGCGCTCTGGCTCAAGTGGTAGAGCACTCTCCTAGAGCTGAAGAGCTGAGGGACAGCACCTAGGCCCAGAGTTCAAGCCCCACGACCAACAACAACAACAACAAAATAATGAATAAAAAGAAATAAAAGAATACAATGTTCAATAACTACCTTATCTTTAGATGGTCTCTCCTTGCAATATCTGTTGATATCTCTTTTGTCATCTCTTTTGTTTATTTCCTCTTCATCCCGATCTGTAAAACAAGTAACAGCAGCCAGAATTCATTAATACATATCAGTATCATGAAAATGTAACTTCCACAATGAAAATGATACCCAAAAAGCAAAGTAAAAGTTCATATGTTAATATGATAAAGTGAAAATTGTAAGTTGATTAAAAGGCAACATGTATACTTAGTGTAAGCTGGGTAGTATTAGAGAAAAATGAGTCAAGGATCTACAGTGCAGTATTGAACTCTATGCAAACTGAACTTCCTCAGTTTTTCTTCAACAGCTTCTCCTTAGAACAAACACTATACTTGTGGATACCAAATGTCTACTGTAATCCGGGTGCCTGTGGCTCACATCTGTAATCAACCTACTGTATAATGTGGCTTGAACTAGTGTTAGCTAAGAAGAGTCATCAGATTCTGGAAATATTTTGAAATTAAGAGCTGATGTGACTTCTTGATAAAATGAATGTAAAGTATTATAAAAAAGTGAAAAAGATGATTCTTGGGTGTTATCCTGAGAAACTAGAAAGATGAAATTGTGATCAAATGAACTGGGGAAACAATGAACCCCCCCTGGTATAGCTAATATATGCTAACAAAAATTATTAAAAATATAGATAAAAAGAACTGAGTAAGACTAAGCATTTTTTTTTTGGCTTTTATAAAATTTTTGGAGAAAGTGGATAGGATTTCAGTTTTAGACATGTTTATTTTGAAGTGTTTGATATCTAGAGATGAAGATGTTAAGGAGATCAATGAATATAGAAAGCTCAGAGATAAGTATGATATAAATATATGTAGATGGCATAAACACTAAAATGGACAAGACCACCAAAGCAGTAAAAGTATAAATGTAAAAGAATTGATAGCCAGCACTGGTGGCTCATGCCTATAATCCTGGCTACTCAGGAGGCTGAAATCTGAGGATCACAGTTCAAAGCCAACATGGGCAGGAAAGTCTGTGAGACTCTTTATCTCCAATAAACCACCAGAAAACTGGACATGGCACTGTAGCTCAAGTGGCAGAGCATTAGCCTTGTGCTGAAGAGCTCAGAGACAGTGCCCAAGACCCACAACTGGGGGGCGGGGGGGGGGAAGAATTGATAAAGCTCACTTTAGCAGTACATATAGTAACTCTGGAATAGTACAGAGCAGATTAGCATTGCCTCAGTGCAAAGATGATGGAATGAAGCATTCCACATTTTAAAAGGAAGGAAGGAGCAGGGCATTGGTGGCTCACACCCATAATCCTAGCTCAGGAGGCTGAGATCTGAGGATCATGGTTCAACCAGCCCCAGCAGGAACATGGAGTTTGAAGCTAGCTTGGGCAAAAAGGCATCCATTTCAATAATACAATCACCAAAGAAATGTTTTTTCAAGTTAGTCAAGATGATATATATGTGTGTTGTAGAAAAAGAATTTTGAATTTCAGGTGAACTTGGGCCACATAATAATACCATGTTTCCAGAGGGGAGGGGGTAGAAGAGGGGCACTGTAATCCAAGCACATGGGAGATGAGAAGGTGAGGCAAAATCTGAGTTTTAGGTTGGCCTGGGCTACACAGTGAGACTGTCTCAACAAAAGGATAGAACACAGTGAAACTCCCCCTGCCCCACACCCGCCCCCCAAACCTAAGAAGGAATTAAAATAGAAACATACCATCTTCTTCATCCTCAGCTTCTTCTGCCTCCATTGGGTCATATTCATCTTGATTATTATCTTCTTCTGTTTCATCATCATCTTTAGAATCATCTTTTCTTTTATCTTCTTTCTACAATTTAAAATGGTCTGAATTTAAGAAAGATACAAGCTGGGCACCAGTGGTTCACACCTGTAATACTAGCTACTCAGGAGGCTGAGATCTGAGGATAGTTGTTCAAAGCCTGTCCAGGCAGGAAAGTCCCTGAGACTCTTATCTCCACTAAACCACCAGAAAACAGGAAGTAGCACTGTGGCTTAAGTGGTAGAGTGCTTGACTTCAGCTGAAGAGCAGACAGTGCCCAGGCCCAGAGTTCAAGCTCCATCACACACACACACACACACACACACACACACACACACACAC